TGAGATTGACACCTACCATTAGATTTTAATTCAATACAACCGCCCCCCATTTGTTATTACGTTTATGCCTTGAAATAATTAATATAAAACTCTCTACAGAATTAAAGAAGACATATTTTAGAAACAGTTTTTTAGTAATATGGACACTCTGAGGTTGACAGAATACCTACCAAATTAGACTAAGAAAAAGGGTTAACAAAAATAAAGTTCTCCTTTCGATTATTTTTAGTAGAGTTACTTTGAATTTTTTAAATATAAATTTATAATAAAAAATATATATCTCTTAACCTGTAACCGTTTTCCTTCATTAATAAAGGGTTGCGGAGCGGACTTATCCCACAACGGGCACGCCGCTTCTGGTTTTGGCCGCTTCCTTGTACGAAACATAAGAAATGTGGATAGTGTGATAGTACACTGTACTGCACGCCTAACTCGTACTACACCAGTTCTTTGCTCCGTGCAAAGAATTAAAAAATAAAAGAGAAAAACTAATTATTATTTTTTGGTTTGATTAGAAAGAAAGTATTTTTTAAAATAAAATTTTAATTTTAAATTTTATGAATAGAAGGGTAAATATTGAGATAAATTTTTTTATATGGGGTTTGACACACATTTCTTTTCGGAGAGTTTAATGTAATTTGATTTTAAATTAATTAATATTTATTATGATTTTTAAATATCAAAATTAATATAAACAAAAAAAACATTTTATTTTAAAAAATAACAAACATTTAAGTATTTTTCATCCTTTATAAATCATTTTTTTGGGAACTACATATATTTTAAAAAAATAAATAAATAGTAAAATGAGAGATAATTTTTTTATTATTTTATTCTCAGCGCCTACGTATTCTGTCACACAAGTTCGTTCATATCTGTACAACTCTATAATTAACTTCCAAATAAAAGAGATTAGTCAGTTGGTAGCTGGCCTGATTACCATTTGTTCTGATTATTGGCTTATATGAAGGGATGATTTTGACATTGTTTAGAAATATTAGTGCTTGTCAAAGAAAGGCGATACAGCAATGGCAATAGATGAAAAATAATAATTTTA